GAAGGACTTAGGAGAGGCACAGTACATATTGGGCATCAAGATCTACAGGGATAGATCTAAGAGGATGATTGGATTAAGCCAGAGTACTTATATTGATAAGGTACTGGCTCGATTCCACATGGAGAATGCCAAAAGAGGGCATTTACCCATGTCCCATGGCGTAACTCTCAGCAAGAAACAGTGTCCACAGACACCTGTTGAGCGAGAAAGAATGAATCAGATCCCATATGCTTCGCTAATCGGATCGATCATGTATGCCATGATATGTACAAGGCCAGATGTATCGTATGTCCTGAGTGCAACGAGTCGATACCAATCGAACCCAGGAGAGGCGCATTGGACTGCGGCCAAGAACATCCTTAAGTACCTGAAAAGGAACAAGGATAAATTCCTGGTGTATGGAGGCCACAAAGAACTAGTTGTTGAAGGTTACACCGACGCTAGCTTCAAGACTGACAGAGACGACTTCAAGTCACAGTCGGGGTACATATTTTGTCTGAATGGAGGAGCGTTTAGCTAGAAGAGTGCCAAGCAGAGCACCACTGCAGACTCTACAACTGAAGCCGAGTACTTGGCCGCTTTAGAAGCTGCCAAGGAAGCTGTTTGGATTCGCAAGTTCATTAACGAACTTGGTGTTGTACCTTCAATCAAGAGACCGATAGACCTCTATTGTGATAACAATGGAGCTATCGCTCAGGCCAGGGAGTCGAGAGAGCACCAGAAGGTCAAACACGTGCAAAGGCGATTTCACGTGATAAGGGAATGGAAATTCGAAGGTGAAATCAGAATTTGTAAGATTGGCACAGATGATAATGTAGCCGATCCTTTGACTAAACCGCTGCCTCAAGTGAAACACAACAAGCACATTGAGGCAATGGGAATTAAGCATGTTGGTGACTGTCTTTGAAATTCCCTGTACATGTGTTTTAATTAAATAGGATATTTAATGTAAGGCACTATATTAAAACCATTCATTAATGGAGTAATTAATTTTTGTGCAAAATTAACATTCACTCCATTACTATTTAATTGTGGTTTAGAATTAAATAATGAGTTCTTTCAATTTACGGAAATATTCAAAACAGGGTATCAAGACCATGTCTTTGATAAAGAAACACCTGTTAAGTGAACATTGAATATTAAATCGAAAATTGTCCCTACTCGAGGTCATCTAACAGATGGACGATTGATGACCGCCATAGATTAGTGTGTAGTATGATTTACAGCACCGTTTCTTGTGCTGCGAGGACGTGACGGTCATAAATCATTTGCACAGGCATAGTTTGGAACTGTACTGGATAAGACCTATGAGAGTACTTTAAGAAAATTTAAATTTTGTCATAAGTACATTTCTCATTATGACTATCGGAACTTGTTTCCTCCGACCATGAGTATTGTGAAGTTTTCTTGTTTGAGTACTAGACTCTTTGATGTTTCCAAACGTCTTCCGTAACTGGGGATTATAACGGGAACACTCAGGAGACTATGTCCTCTTAGTAAGAGGAACTTACAATACAAGACTGGGAATGTCCCCCTACTAACAATAGGGAAAATGTTTTGTTGTTTACCAGGCCGCTCGAAGAGCGAGACTGTGAAAATGCATGGCCGTGCTCAGATGGATTTTAGAAATCATCTGCTTATTGACAGTCGAACTCGGAGATAGAGAAACACTTCTGAACGTTATAAGGATGAGAAAGAATCTTACCTTATAGTTCACGAAGAAACATTAAGTGACCCAGGAAATGGGATATACACTATATGCACACTTGTCCGGAAGGACAAGTGGGAGATTGAAAGGAATGGTGTCCTTCCAACAAGTGTATTCTTCCGATAGAGGGTTCAGAATTATTACGGAGCTAATTCTTCAGTAAGGTCAAGTGATCGGAATGCCTAGGTGGAGGCCACTTCCGATCAGTAATATCAATATACAATTGATGTTACAGCTTAATCTTAACTGAACCCTTCGGGTCGAACCCAATCGAATCACTGATCTAAGACGATGAATTAATCCGAAAGGATTTAATGAGTCAGCAGAGTTTTACGAATACAGACGTCGAAAATCGAGCCTAGGGCATTGAGACCGAGTGTCGCAAAATCACAAGCGACAAGTGCAAGTGTAGCCGTAGCACCACAATGGTCTAACCATGTGGATGCTAGGCTAGTTCGAGCTAGCATGCACCTAGCATGGCTAGGGGCAAGCCTAAGCACACTAGGTGTGCTAGGCGCACCATCGCAGCCTAGGAGTGCACATGGCAGCCTATCGCAAAGCACCACAAGGCCCAGGCAGCCCATCACAGCTAACAGTGGTCTATCCTAGATGCTTGGGTGCGCATGGCAAGCTATCGCAAGCGCCAAAAGCACCAGGCAGCCCATCGCAGCTAGCAGCGTGCTAGCCTGGGTGCCTGGGTGTGCATGGCAGGCTATCGCAGCACCATAGCACCACGCACAACACCATCACAGTGCTGGGCACATGCGTATGTGCGTGCGCGTGTGCACCATTGCCCACCAGGACCCAGCTGTGTGCTTGTGTGCGTGCCTTCGCATGGCAGCACCAAGCACAGCGAGTTAGCAAGCAACGCTGGCCTTGCGTGTGTGGGCACCATCGCAGGCCACGCATCAAGCACAACGCACCTATGTGTGTGCGTGCCTCGCACCAAGCATAGTAGTGCTAGGCACTGGCTGATGCCTGTGCGAGCGTTGCTTGGTGCATGGTGCGTAGGGTGCTACGAGCGTGGTGCGTAGGGTGCTACGAAGGAAGGGCCAGCATGCGTGGCTCGCTAGCAGCACGCATGCTGGCTGTGCTAGCAATGGCGCGCAAGGAGAGTGTGCGTGGGCTGCTGGGGGCCAGTGCCAACACTATGTGCTAGCAGCGCCCAGCGCCAGCACACAAGCAGCAGCACCAGCCCAGCAGCAGCACGCACTGGCTGGCTGGCTGGGTGCTGGGCAGCAAGGCGGTGCTAGCTGGCAGCCAGCTAGCCCTCCTTGACCCGGTTTTGTGCATAGAGTGTGGGGACCAAATCAAGGCCTTGGGGATCAAGGCAATGGTCTCCCCCAAGCCTTGGTCCTCACTTGGCTTTCTTTATTATTGTGCCATATGTCGATTTGTGATTGAATTGATTAATCATTTAATTTTAGAATTAAATAATTATCATTTTACCAACTCTCCCACATTGATGGGAGATTGGAAATCAAGGGATCATTTCCCTATAAATACCAAGCTTGGGTATTTGGGAATGAACAACCTTGAGTGGAATTAAAAAGGCAACTCTAAGTAAGAGTAAACCTTTGATTCGTAAAACTCATAGTTATTTTGTCCGGATCTTGACTAACCTTCAAGACTTAGGACGCTCGGGTCGGGTCGAGGGTACAATCCGTCGGAGATCTCGTGTTTTCGGGATTTTGAAGTAAGAGCTCTTTGGGAGCGAAGCACGCATCAAAGGTATAATTCTTGTTCTTAATCTTGTTTGATTAAGTTTAATATGCTTGTTAATTGTTTTAATTAAGGGGCAGGTCTTGGTGGGTTTCCTTCCGCGTAGTGTCAGGTAACTACGAAACTCTACAGAGGAAACTGACAAAGTTCTTGATATACAGTCAACCTATGAGGTAGCGTCGGGCCAGAAAATGAATATGGAAAAATCAGAGGTGTCCTTTAGCCAAAATGTTGAGCTTGAAAAGAAAAATATGCTTCAGATGAAGTTAGAATTTAAGGCTGTCGAGGGACAAGATAAGTACTTAGGCCTTCCGACTTACATTGGAAGTTATGAGAAACAAATTTTCTAGAGTATTCAGGTTAGGGTTTGGAAGAAGCTCAAAGATTGGAAAGGTAGTTATCTTTCTCAAGCAGGTAGGGAAATTCTCATTAAATCGGTGGCAAAAGCTATACCCTCCTATGCTATGAATTGTTTTTCTATTCCCGTTGGCATCTTAAATGAGATAGAAAAATTGTGTAGGAGTTTCTTTTGAGGGCAAAAAGGTGAGGAAAGGAAGATGAGTTGGGTTGGATGGGAGAAGATGCTCCGAGCAAAAAATCAGGGAGGATTGAGGTTCAGAAATATGAAATTTTTCAACAAGGCTATGATAGCAAAATAAGCGTGGAGAATTTTGAGTAACAAGGAATCACTTATGTCTCGGGTCCTTAAGGGCAAATATTTTCCAACCTCAACTTTCTTTGATGCTAAAGCTGTCCCAAACATGAGTTTCACGTGGAGATCGATCTTAAGTGCTAAAGAGGTGATTGAGAAGGGTTCCATAAAAAATATTGGTGGGGGAGTAGTTTCCGTATTTGGGAAGATCCATGGGTGCCTAATCTCCCAAAGTTCCAAATCATGTCTCAAAGGAGGGAGGGAAGTGATGTTCCGGTTTTTGTCAAAGATTTGTGGGAAAATCAGAGCTGGAATTTATCTACTCTCTCTGAATTATTCTCTCAGCGGGAAATTGATGAAGTTTGTAGCATCCCACTTCCTCTATTTGATGAGGAGGACGTTTGGTCATGGTATTTCTCGAAAGATGGGTTGTATAGCGTCAAGAGTGCATACAATATTTTGGTTGAAGAAGAGATATGGAAGAAGGCAACCTCATCAAATGGAAGTGTAGAGTTTAATTGGAAGAGTATTTGGCATGCCCGTATTCCACCAAAGATCAAGCTGTTTGCGTGGAGATGTGTGAGGGAGGGGCTGCCTGTGATGAGTTGTTTGTTGGCTAGAGGTATGATTGTAGATCAACGCTGTCCTATGTTTGGGGAGGGTGAGGAAACTATAGCCCATTCGCTTCTCTTTTGCCCTGTAGTTTCCTCCATTTGGAGACACTATGCCTTTCGACTTGACACGGGTGCTGTTGCTGTTGATGGTTTTCGAGGTTGGTGCAACATGATGTATGGAAAGATTAAGGAAAAGAATTGGTGGGATATATTTTGGTGCTTGGCGTAGGGAATTTGGTTGAAGCGGAATGCATGGGTCTTTGATAAAAGAGAGAAGAGTGAAGCTGACATCCTCTATAAAACAATGTGTTTGGTGGGAGAGTTTGAAGAAGCCAATGCAAGTGCTGATGGAGTGCTGCAAGAGCAGCATCTTAGCTCTAAATGGAAAGCTCCTGCTGCTAGTCTGTACAAGTTAAATACAGATGCAGCCTTCCAAGGTCAGCGGCTGGGAATTGGAGGGATTTTGAGGGATGAGGAAGGGGCTGCTGTGGTGGTCTATTGCTCGACAGAAAATGGGAGGGTAAATGTGGCTGTTGGCGAAGCGTTTGCTATAAGAGCCAGCCTCAAGACAGCCATGGCAGCGGGCTTTAGGAACTTTATTCTGGAAACTGATAATATTAGATTGTTCCACCATTTGAAGAAAAGCTTCATATCTCCTTGCTATTTTGGCAATTTGGTGAAGGATATTCTGATCCTTGCTAGTAGTTGTCAAAGTTGTGATTTTTCTTTTGGTAGAAAGTCGGGAAATTTTGTTGCCCATAGCTTAGCAAAGTTGAGTTTCTCTTTTAGTGATTATCGTGTTTGGCTGGAAGAGTACCCACCTAAATATCAAGGGGCTTTACGTAACGATATTGAAAGCTTGGTGATTTAATAAAGTTTGCTAAGCTGCATTTTCCGTCAAAAAAAAAAAAACAAAGAGTTACATTTATAATGAAATAAAGAGTTACATTTATATATAAATAAAGTAGGAATTTTTGGAGAGCATTTGGAGCGTCACGTAAGAAATATACTTATTTCGACCAATAAGAAGAAAGATTTGTATTTTATTTTTGAATTAAAAAATTATGTCGCCACCTAGATAAAAGTAACGAAAAAAATATTATTTCACGAATTAAATTATTTTAATGAAAAAAATAAAGTAAAAATATAGGAATAAATAAATTAATACAATACTACGATTATAAGAAATGCAAAAAAAATATACTAAATAATATTTAAATGATAAACGCTCATAATAAAGTTTGATACCTATCATTATAAGATAAATTTTGATAGTATTTATGATAAGAAATACAAATTGTTCGTTTACTATAATTAAATTAAAATTTGTGATACCTACCATTATAAATTGACACATCATACGACACAAACAAAATTTCGTATCAATAAAAAACCCCATTAAGCGAATTTTGTGTTAATTTTTTGTTAGTTTTAGGTCATCAATGTCCAGGTAATTTTTAAAATCTTATGTTTTAATTTATATTTGTAATTATTAGTTACATTGTATTTATTTAGGATACTTAACGATTATTTGTTTATGTAACGGCATACAATTAGATGTTGTATACTTAATATATGGATGACTTTGGTTATTTTTGGAGATGATGAAAAAATTCCAATGCATAGATTTGATTTTATATAGCAACAATTTTTCATTTATTGGTAAATATATTGATTTATTTTATATAAATGTAAAGATTTAATTTATATCAATTTCACTTTGGCTAACATTTCATGGTTCAATTTATCCATTGATGTAGTAGGTTGGTTGTGGACGAGGTTGGTTATTCTATCGAAATAAAAGATATGGTAAAACAATGAATAATGATTTAGGATTTAAATTATTAAAAAATTATCATATCACATTAAAGATTTTATATAACGGAAAAAATATCATATGTACAATTTATTTATATTTAATAAATTCATTATAAATTATAGTAAAATAAAAAAACATATCAAACTTTTGTAATTTTGTCTGAAATTATTAAATACAATAAAGCAAATAATTAAAAATCTTAGATGAAAAAACCATGCATCGCACAGGCTTCCATCTAGTTATATTATAAAAAAATATTATTAGCATGAGATTATTAATATAAGTAAGGCTTTTCCTAATAATAATATTAGCATGAGAATATTATATTATTATAGAAATATTAGCATGAGAATTTTTTATTTTTTTTTATTTTATTTTTTTATTTTTTTTGACAACGATTAGCATGAGAATATTATAGAAATATTGGAGAAAATTACAAAAATTACTTAATATAAAATATATACATATAAGAATATTTCATTAAGAGAATATTATAGGCCATAAATACTTTTCATGAAGAATTGACAAAATAAAAAAAGACAAAAAAAAAAAAAAAGAAAAATTGGAGGAAAAATTTTTAACCAGTGAATGCATGTGTCAGTACTGGTTTCGCTTTTAATATTAAGTTATTGATATTGATTGTTAATTTGTCATCGCTCGGCATAAAAGAACAAAACGAAGAAAATGAGAGATTTCTAAAACTAGATTAGATACTTGTTCGCGTATTTGTTATTATACGGGATATATCATTATTTATAAAGAAAATAATCTTAGCTTTGGGTGTACTAGGTAGTACCTGTGTGATGTCCGGGATGGGAACTTAGTATATCTATGTCAAAAAAAAGTTAGTGTAAAAACATAATTATCTCTTAACCAAAAAATAGGTAGGTGATAAAGGTTAAAAAAACCATAAATATTTATTAACTAAAACAAAATATCATACCATCACTAATAAATAAAGCCGATGTCGCAGTCAGGCCACGAGACACCGACACTTGGCATTAAAATTTTTCGCCAAGTGTCACGCCACGTAGGCGATAAATAGGTATTATTGTGACACATATGATGCTAGGTAAGCGAAGTTTGGATAAATTTTTAAAAATGAAAATGTTGTATAGAGTTTTATTATCAATATACTTCTAATATTTTATATACTACCTCCGTTAAATATTATGTGCAACTTTTGCCAAAAACGGATGATCAAGGTTATGTGAAACTTTCCATTTTCTTTCCATTTTTAGTAAACAAAAAAGTTATAAAAGACTTATTTACCCTTACTTAAAAAATCATATTTTCTTAATTATGCCCTTATCTTATTTTAACTTTGTTTAGGGTAAAAATACCCTATGCCACGTGGCCCTATAGCATAATGACACGTGGAAGCCCACCAGAGGCCCAGCGGGATCCAATCGGATGCTGACACGTGGCATTGTACCTCCTTTGGGGGAGCAGATCCTCATCTGCTATAAATAGAGGAAATTCCTCATTTATTATTCATTCATATATACAAACACAAAACCCGAGCAATATTAATCGCGGAATCTCTCTGAATTAGGGAGAAAAACCCATTTACTTTCCACCCGTTTACTAATCCGGAATCATACTAACTTGATCGTTTGAGGCGGAACTCCACCCAATCGGAGTTTCGTGGTTTTGCATGTACAGACGTCAGGCGCACATACTCCGTATTGTAACTCTCCCGAGGGACTCCAAAAACCCCCGAAACATTTGGCGCCGTCTGTGGGGAGAGTACTACTGGGATGACATCTGACACTGTACCGTGTGCAAAGGGCAGCCGGCCTACGGGTGACCCTGAGGTCCATACGGACCATGACAGTGGTGACGAGTATGAAGTCGACACCTACATGGCCCCAGACGGGTCATTTTGTTCTAGACGCACCCGTTCCAAAGAAAAGAAGGAACGGGGCCAAGACAAAGCTGGTCCCAACAACCCAGGCGGAAAGCACCCTGGGCAACCCCAGGCGGCGGAGGGCACATCCCCCGTCACCAGAGACGAACTCATGAATCTCATGACTAGTTTCAAGGGGGAAATTGAAGACATAATCAAGAAGTCAACTGGCTCTAACAAGGGTCAGTCGGCAAAGAAGCCTTCTCCCTCTGGGAAGAAGCAGTTTAAAGACCGGGTGCCTACTTCGCACCTAAAACCCAAGGGGACGGATGGGCCCCTGATCGACCTCTCTAAACTTCGTTTCCCTGAATCAGGGCAAAGGAAGGCCATCCGGCAAGTACAGCTGGATGGGTCCAAAAAGACTTACTCTGACGCCCGGATGTTCATCTAGGAGAAGAGAAGTTAGCACATGTCTCAGTCGGCCTCAACGTCGACCTACCCAGACAGTTTCCGAAATACTTCAACGAAGCATTCGGAGACGCATTAGGAGAGTCAGTCACGCAGCATGTCTGCACGAACCGGCCCTCATGTTATCCAGCAGGCTTCGTATGTGCCCCAATAGCCATACGCGCCGTATGGATCTCCATTCATGCTGTCGGCCCCCTTTGGGGGTAAGGTGGCATATCAAGTCCAGCCTATGGACTGGCAACTCCGGCTGCTAAACCTTGGGGAACAGCCTTCGGCTTTCTCCCAGGAAATAACCGAGGCGGCACAGCTGGCCAAGGTTAAAAATATGTTGGTCGGTACCTACGACGGTACCACCAACCCGGAAGACCACCTAATCGCATACACCAACCTCATGTACTTACAGGGGTTGGATGATGCCGCCTGGTGCAGATGCTTCATTGCTACATTGAAGGGCATAACCCAACGATGGTTTGGCAACCTGCCAGCCGGATGCATCAATAACTTCAAGACGCTTGCATTCTTGTTCGCGTCCAACTTCTCCATGAACATCCCTGCAAAAAAGACAAGTCTCGACCTAGAGGCTATACAGCAGGGTGACAAGGAGGGACTTCGGTCCTATGTCACGCGGTTCAATCTGTTGATAATTCAGATTCAAGGGCTGTCTAACGAAGTTGCATACACAGACTTCTTCAAGGGTATGAAGGATGGATCAACCTTCAAGTTTGACCTGGTCTGCAAGAGGGTTGCTACCCTCCAGGAGGCGTTGATGGAGGCCAAAGCTTATGTACAGGCAACGGAACTCTGTGCCGTCAAGCACTCGTCGGAACCCAAGAGGTGCGACAAGAGAGACAGCTGGCCAACCTAGCCGACCAAAAAGGAAGAAAAGAGAAGAAAAGAAGTCTAGGCAGCAGACTGCACTGTTCAGCCATCCTAGAAGAAACATAGAAAGTTGGAACCATACATCCCTAAGTATGAGTTCAACAAGGACTGCTCCTCCATCCTCATGGAGATAAAAGACTGGTTGACCCTTGAACAACCGATTTCAATGAAAAGCTATGTTAAGAACAGGAAAAGAGCAAGTACTGTCAGTTCCATGAGGATGTTGGCCATGACACCAATGGTTGCTATAGCCTCAGGCGGCTATTGGACCGTCTGGCTGATGAGGGGGCTCTGAATTCCTACCTGGTGAAGTCCAAGGGTAACCCCAAAACCTACAATGGACAACCGTCAAAGAAGCCGGCTGATAGCTCTAAAACTGATGAAGAGCACATCTTCACCATAGCAGGCGGGTTTGCAGGTGGGGGTCCTACCATTCGGGGTACCAAGGATAACATCCGGAAGCTGTCCAACCCAGAGGATGAGGGTCAGGCGTCGAAAGACACCTTTCCTGAGGTCTTCATCTTTGAGAAGGATCGGGGTATGGTCAGCGGCCCCATGATGACCCCATTTTCATCGAATGCAAGGTTGTCAACCAACGAGTTGGCCGAATCTTAATTGATACCGGGAGCTCATCTGACTTGATCAGCTACCAGTGTTTGACAAAGCTCAAGTACAAGCCTAGCAGTATGCACAAGGCTCCCCACCCCCTAGTAGGCTTTGGGGGAGGAGTGGTGCATCCGGTGGGAAGGATTGACCTACCCATCCGGCTAGGAGAGAAGGGGGAAAGGCGGCACATGGTAGTCAAATCTTTGGTGGTCGAGGAATTGACCGCCTACAATCTCACATTAGGCCGTCC